TGCCGACCAAATCCTGTCTCCGTGAGGTGGGGAGGGTACCTGCAAAGGCACTCCGACGATCAAGTAAGTATTTGGTACTGAGCAATAAGTGCTTTTATATGGAATAAATCGTACCTCTTTTATGTCCCATCACCTGTGTATTTATAGTGACATGTGTGGGCCTGGTGGGCCTTTTGTCTTGGGAGATGGGTAACATTTTAATTAACCTTAATCTTCTCTTAATCATGCATGGTAATTATTGAATAATAAGCATCTAACTTGCCACGTGTTGTTTGTGATCTGTCTTTTGTTGAAGTCTTCGGCTAGGCCTAAGGCCGAAAGGGTGTTCGGCCTTCCCCAAGGCCGAAGAGGTGTTCAGCCTAGGTCAAGGCCGAGGAGGTGTTCAGCCTAGGTCAATGCCGAGGATATATTTGGCTCGTCCTTGGTGGTGGTTGGGGTGTTCGACCTATCCCAAGGCCGAGGGGGTGTTCGGCCTACCCCAAGGCCAAGAGGGTGTTCGAACTATGTCAAAGCCGAGGAGGTGTTCGGCCCAGCTTAATACCAAGAGGTTTCGCTGGGTGTCCACTCCTAGTGGTAAAGGAGTCCTAGGGTGCCCCCTTTGGCCGAGAGGGTGTATTCGGCCCGTCCTCCAGCCGAAGTGTTGGTGCGTTTTCCTTAGCTCGGGCACTCCGTTCGGCCCATTGCCTGATTGAAGGGGTGCCAACTGGTGTGTTTTCCTCGGCTCGGGCACTCCGTTCGGCCTATTGCCTGACCGAAGGGGTGCCTACTAGTACACTACCCCCCCAAGCCCAAGGATGGAAGACGAAGGGGTTTTATGTGCTGAAACGGTTTGGGGGTTTTTAGGGTTTTGATTTTTGGGGGGACGTGTTTTTCGGGAGGTGTGTCGTGTTGATAGTGTCCGTTGCATGCCATGGCCGCCTTTGGGTTTCACGCCCTAGGGTTATGTCTCTTTGCATTCAGGCGCATTTATGACGAGCCTCTTGGGTTGCCTTGTGTGGCCTATATAAGGTGTGGGGGTGGAACTCCATATCTCACGCCTTCTCAGTAGTTATACAGCCTCAATATCATTTCTCGTGTAAGCCGAGTACTCCTAAAAGGTTCGTTCTTTTGTTTTTAGATTATTTTTTTATAATGGCCACCGAAGGTGTGACATTGTCGTCAGGGTCCTCCGCCGGTGATAGGGTGTCGGCGCAAGATGTCGAGGCCGAGATGTTAGCCTTCAACTACGAGGTGGAAATGATTGGGGTCATATTGGGTTAGGGCCTGAACGTAGTGGGGAATCTGGGAGTTCTTCATCCGGGTCGGACTTGCCTGACGCCGAGATGAGTCCTGGGGACTATAGGCAGAAATACCCTCCATGTGAAGTCCCCGGGTACGATTGGGTAGATGGTGAGGTGGCAGCGTACTTCTCTCGTTTTCATGAGAGGGCTGCCGTGGTACGTCTTCTAAGTCTTTGCACGTTAGGTCGATGGGAAGGTTGGGATCCTTATCCCATCATGTTGCGTCGATGCCGGGCTGAAGGCCCTGGGGAGCTTGATCTGGTTTTTCTTGCGAAGCGGGAAGGTACCGGAGATTTTTTCTACATGTACGAGTGCTTCTTCCGAGAGCTCGGAATGTCGCTCCCTTTCGACGATTTTCAGATGGGTGTCCTTCGCGTGTTGAACGTAGCCCCGACGCAGTTGCACCCGAATGCATGGGCTTATATGCAAGCATTTCGGGTGCTTTGTAAATACCATTACATAGAGCCGACCGTAGGTTTATTTTTACATTTTTTCTGTACTCGTCTATCCAATAAGACTGTGAAGTGGCTTTCTTTGATTCGGAATGTTGACCGACCGCTCTTGACGCCCTTCACATCATCCTTTAAGGGTTTTAAATCGGGGTTTGTGAAGGTAATCATAGACCCCGTAGCCGGACGGAATTATTTTTATGATGTCGAGCAGAAACCCCTTTTTCCTTTTTATTGGACCCGGCAGCCTCGAAAGTACGATGACTTTCCGGAGGACATGATGACCGACGACGAGTTGTCGGCTTTAGACGTTCTTAAAGGATTGCCGAAGTGCATCCCCTCTCGGTTTCTGGTGCTGCTGCCCAAGTCGTCTCGACCTCGTGTTGATTTAGAGGGTATGTTTAGTTATTTCCGATTGATTGTGCTTGTTAAGTTGATGTGTGACTCTTTGATTTTCGCAGGCTGGATGGCGCAACAAGGTTTAGGATTGTCGTATCGGCAATTGATGAGGAGCAAAGCTCCGGCCGGGACCTCCGCCGAGGATCATCGCAGCGTGGCCATTGATCAACAACCACAAGCCATGGATGCTCCTCGGCCAACACCTCCTGTTATCGCCCTTTCTGATCCTAAGGGCAAAAAGAGAAAGGACAAGGGGAAGAGGAAAACCGATGCCTCAGGTACGGAAGTCTCTCGGCCCAAGCAACGAAGGGTTGAGGGTCCTTCAACGGATTTGGCCATTCCTTCGGCCATTGTTGCTAAGGACTTCATTTCGGAGGAGATCAGGCCAGCCCGGATGATGACGTCGGATCTGCTATCGGCCCAAGGGCATGTAATGCTCGACTCGGCTACTCCTTCAGCTCGATGGGCGATGGCTTGCGAATTGCATGTGCGGGCCACCGCCATATTTCGGAAAATGGCTTTGGAGCCGATGGGCGACTTGCACAATCTCCAGAAGAGCCTAGAGGACACTAAGTCGGCTCTGCAACAATCCCTTTCGGCGCAAGAGGCTCTATCCGGCGAAAGAGCGTCGTTGGAGGCGCCCGATGGAAGGAAGCTTATGAGGGGATGGAAGGCCGAGTTATGGCGGCGGAAGATGCTGAGCGAATGCGTGTCGAGGAGGTGAAGGAACTCCAGGCCGAGGTGGAACGAGTGAAGGCCGAAGCTGATGCTGCAATGGCGACCTTCTGGGCTGAATGTGAAAGCAAAATCGTGAAGGAGCACGAGGAAGGGTTTTGGCACGCCGTTCGGCAAGCCAATCATTTCGGTACTTTTCCCCCGGGCTTCTCCTTCGAGCTGAGCAAGGACTTCTTTCAGGGGGAGTTTATGGATTTCGCTAACGCGCCGGATGACATGGAGCAGGATGACGTGGCGTCGCCCCGGTCAGCCCTGGCGAAGGATCCGGGGACGACCATGAATGAAGACGAGGAGACCGAGGAGACCACCCATGCGGATTGAAGGGTGTTAGTGTGTTGTTTTTTGATTATACATCTGTTTTGTTAATGATGTATAGATATAGGGGTCTTTTGCTTTTTGATTCTTTTTGAGCCGTTTGAGCCATACTTGTTTGTACTTTTTGGCCAATAGTGCCGCTTTGACCTCGGAGTCTTAATGAATTCATTCTCACTTTTATTCATATTCTACTTTGTTTCTGTACACTTTAACTGTGAACAATTCAACATTAAAAATCGAAGTGTCTCGGATCTGTGCTATATAAAGGAGTTTCTTTCAAGTTTTTCTTTGGCCGATGGGGTCGGAATTTCCTTTTTGGTGGGCAAGGTGATTTTGTTCGGTTTTGGCCAAGTGAGGGAGTATTCAAGTGAAATACAATAATTTTGACTTCGGTTGAGGAAGTTCCTCGGGAAGTAAACTTTGGTCACCCTTAGCCGAATAGTAGGTATTCGGACAAGGGCTAAGGTTTCTTCCTTGGCCGAAATGGTCTCGTAGATTCGGTACGACACTGGCAGGTGAAAAATGTTCTACCTTTGCTGATAGGATGTCTCGGGAGGGGTTATGTCATTCAACCTTGGCCGAGAAGATATCTCGGGAGGGGTTCATTTCATTCAACCTTGGCCGAGAGAGAGTGCTCGGGAGGGATTATTTCATTCAACCTTGGCCGAGCGAGAGTGCTCGGGAGGGATTATTTCATTCAACCTTGACCGAGAGGATGTCTCGGGAGGGATTATTTCATTCAACCTTGGCTGAGCGAGAGTGCGCGGGAGGGATTATTTCGTTCAACCTTGACCGAGAGGATGTCTCGGGAAGGATTATTTCATTCAACCTTGGCCGAGAGGATGTCTCGGGAGGGATTATGTCATTCAACCTTGGCCGAGCGAGAGTGCTCGGGAGGGATTATTTCATTCAACCTTGGCCGAGCGAGAGTGCTCGGGAGGGATTTAAGTTTTGGCTTACGATTAGACTGAGCAAAAAAGTTTCTTGAAGAATAGCTTGTTTCATTGATATGGTGCCTTGTTAAAAACCTTTTCTCAGGAAAACCTCTTTTCACATTTTTCTAAGAGGAGAAAACCTGAAAAAGGAACAGAATGCACCGAAACACAATTACATGGCGTATGCTAACTAAAGTACTGCTTCAAGTGTGTTGCATTCCACGTCCGAGGGATAGCCTTCCCTGTTAGTTCTTCCAACTTGTATGCTCCGTTTTGTAAATTGTGCATTATGCGATAAGGGCCATCCCAGTTAGGTGCCAACTTTCCTTGGGATTTGTCCCGTCGCGCGTCTCCTGTAACTCGCCAGACCAAGTCGCCGGGTTGGAATTCGCGGGGTTTGACCTTCGTTTGGTGTTTCCTGATTAGCTTGGTTTGGCAAGCCTCCATATTGATGAGGGCTTGATCACGTGCTTCCTCAACTAAATCCAGTTCGATGTTTAGTGCTTCCCCATTGGTTCGTTCATCGAATATTGTTCGTCTCAAGGAAGGTTCACCTACTTCCACTGGAATCATGGCATCTGTGCCATAGGTTAACCGAAAAGGGGTTTCTCTAGTTGAGCTTTGTGGGGTACAACGGTAGGCCCATAAGAGTTCGGGCAAACAGTCGGGCCATGTTCCTTTAGCTTGCCCGAGTCATCGTTTCAACTCTTTGAGGATGACCTTGTTTGCTGCTTCGGCTTGCCCATTTGACTGGGATGTTCCACCGACGTCATCTTGTGCTTGATCCCTAGTCCGGCCAGAAACTCATTGAAACGGCGGTCGGTAAATTGCAAACCATTATCGGTGATCAAAGCAAAGGGAATTCCGAAACGTGTGATGACGTTCTTCTAGAAGAATTTCTGTACGTTGCTGGCCGTGATGGTAGCTACTGCTTCTGCTTCGATCCACTTAGTGAAATGATCGATGGCTACAAGGAGGAACTTAACTTGGCCTTTTGCTGGTGGGAACGGCCCCAATATGTCCATTCCCCAGTTAGAAAACGGCCAAGGAGTGGTGATGGAATGCAACTCCTCGGGTGGTTGATGCGTCAAGGGTCCATGCTGCTGGCAAGGCCTGCACTGTTGAACAAAATTGACGCAATCCGTCAGTAGAGTTGGCCAATAGTATCCTGCTCGGATAACCTTGGTGGCAAGAGTTCGGCCGCCCGAGTGAGTTCCACATATGCCTTCGTGGATTTCCCTGATCACGTATTGTGCCTATTCCAGTGCCAAACATTTCAGTAATGGTGTCGACATCCCCCTTTTGTACAATTCCCCAGCAATTAAGGTGTATCGAGCCGCAACGACTTTCATCTTTTTTGCCTCCAAGGGATTAGTGGGTAATGATCCGGTTGCGAGATGTTCGACTATCCCAGTCATCCAATTGGGCGTTGCTTGCTGAACCTGCAAACATTCAGCTTGGGTAATACTTGGCCTGTGTAGTTCTTGCTGCATCATGCTGCGCAAATGACTGGTTTTCTTGCTGCTGGCTAGCTTAGCCAACTGATCGGCTCTCGTGTTGAGCTCTCGGGGTGTGTGCTTAACTTGGACATCTTCAAAGTTACCCTTCAGTTTCTGGAAAGCATGGAAGTATAACAGCAGTGTTGGTTCCTTGATTTGGAAAGTACCATTAACTTGTCCTGTCACCACCTGCGAATCGCTCCAACATTGTATCTTGGTAACACCCAGGTCCTGCGCCAACCTCAGGCCTGCCAAAAGGGCTTCGTACTCGGCTTGGTTGTTGGACATTTTAAAGCCGAACTGCAAGGACTGTTCGATCACTACCTGCCCAGGGCCTTCTAAAATAATGCCGGCGCCACTGCCTCGTTGGTTTGACGACCCGTCTACATGTAAGGTCCAGAGGGGGGGCTCGGGGGCTATTTGTGGCGTGAACTCATTTACGAAATCGGCCATGCTTTGTGCTTTGATGGGCCCTCTTGGTTCGAAACGAATGTCGAACTGAGACAGCTCGATAGACCAGGCGACCATTTGCCCTGCCGATTCCGGCTTGCGCAAGACCTTAGTTATTGGGCTGTCTGTTCGGACGAGCACCCGATGGCTCTGAAAATAGTGTCGAAGGCGCCTGGCGGTATGTACAAGAGCCAAGACCGTCTTTTCAAGATGTTGATATCTCGTCTCGGTGTCTTGTAGCGCTCGACTGACGAAGTACACTGGCATCTGTTCCGTTCTTTCTTGCACCAACACGGTGCTGATGGCCTTGTCCGACACTGATATGTATACTATCATGTCGAGACCAGGGTCCGGTTTGATTAACAATGGTGGAGTTGTGAGTATTGTCTTGAAGTTCTGAAAAGCCGACTCACATTCCTTAGTCCATTGGAACTTGGTGGCCTTTTTCAGCAAGGACATTATGGGTTTTGACTTTTCCGCCATGCATGGCAGGAAACGTGCCAGGGAAGCGATTCGTCCGGCCAACCGCTGCACTTCTTTTATGTTATGAGGACTTTTCATGTTGATGATGGCTTGGCACTTGTCGGGGTTGGCTTCTATACCCCTTTTTGACAACATGAACCCTAAGAATTTTCCGCTGGCTACCCCGAAGGTGCATTTTGCCGGGTTCAACCACATGTGATGTCATCTAACTTCTTCAAAGATGGTTTTGAGGTCTTTTAAGTGGTCACTGGACGAATTGGATTTGATTACCATATCGTCCACATATACTTCCAGGCAGGTTCCTATTTGGTGTCGGAAGATCTTGTCCATGAGTCTCTGGTAGGTGGCACCGACATTCCTCAAGCCGAAGGGCATTACCTTGTAACAGAAATTTGCCGAGTCGGTGATGAACGCAGTTTTTTCTTCATCCGGCGGGTACATGGGTATTTGATTATACCCCGAGTATGCGTCAAGGAAGCTTAATCTTTGATGGCCTGCCGCTCCGTCCACCAGTGCATCGATGTGAAGTAGGGGGTAAGCGTCCTTTGGGCATGCCTTGTTCAAGTCTGTGTAGTCGGTGCACATCCTCCAGTTACCATTCGATTTCTTGACCATAACGACGTTGGCCAACAAAGTGGAATATTTCACCTCTCTTATAAATCCTGCCTGAAGTAGCTTCATTGTTTCTTCCTTCACTGCTCGGGCTCTCTCCACCCATTTTTCTTTTCTTTTGGGCGATTGGTTTGGCGTCGCGGCATACCGAGAGCCGATGACAGTGGAAACCTGGATCTATGCCCGGCATATCTGTTGCCGTCCAGGCGAAAAGGTCTGGGTACTTCTGTAGGACCTGCTTAATGTCTCTTGCTTCCGTCTCGGACAATCGGGAACTCAAATAAGTGACCTGCTCCTCACTTTTTTCGAGTTGGAAAGGGATCGTTGTTTCTATGGGTTCGACCCTATCCTCGTCCTCCATTCTTGGGTCAAGTTCCAAGCCTTCAATCAATCTTTGCTTAATGTCGCCGATGACGTTGACGTCTCGCCTAGGTTTCGGGGTTGGAGGAACCTTCAGGCTAGCGAAGTAGCATTCTCGGGCCATTTTTTGATCAGCGTGTAGAGTAATGATCGTACCTTCCTCCGAAGGAAACTTCATGGCCAAATGGGGAGTGGAGACAATGGCTCGGAGCTTGTTCAGGGAGGGCCGACCTAGTAAGATGTTGTATGATGTGCTTGCATGCACCACCACGTAACGTACCTTAATCCTTCTTCCATACTGTTCTTCTCCGAAGTAAGTGTACAAGTCTATTGTTCCCCGAGTGTCTACTCGTTCACCCGAAAATCCTACCAAAGGCTCATCATAAGGCGTCAGCTCCTGTTCAGGGATGCCGAGCTACTCGAATGTTTTCCAGTATAGGATATCCGCCGAGCTCCCCTGGTCAATGAGAGTTTTCTTCACAATGCAGTTGTTGATTTCCACGTTGATGACTATGGGGTCATCTTGCACAGGGTCGACGCCTTGAAAGTCCTGATCAGTAAATGTAATGGGGGGCATATGAATTGGGGCTGCTCGGCCAATGGTGTTAACCGACTTGATTGCCCTCAAATGTCTCCTGCGAGCCGAGGACGAGCTTCCACCACCCGCGAATCCTCCGGCGATGGTGTTGATTATTCGTCTAGGTTGATCTCGGTCCTGCTGTTGGTTCCTTTCTTGAGACCTGCTGCGTTCACGAGATCGTTTCCTTGGAGGTGCTCAGTCCTAATTCTCCCTTCTATACTCCCTTCTCTCAGGACGGTAGTCATTCCTTCTGTTATTTGTCGACCGGGTAAAGTTTTGAAGGTGGCCTGCTTTGATGAGATCTTCGATGCGATCCCGAAGCGCAGAGCACTCTTCAGTAGTGTGCCCCCTATTCCGGTGGAACTGGCATGCTTTCGTCTTATCCGCGTGGGGCGGAGTCATAGCTCTCCGAGGAACTACTAGGACTTCTGTGGCCAAGGCCTGTTCCAACACTTTGGCTCTGCTGGTGTTGAGCGGTGTATAGTGCATATATCTGGGACCCCTGGTATTCTTTTCTCGATCAATTACGTCTCGGGGTCGGGGCTTGGAAGGTTCCTTCTAACTTTCTTTTTTGGCGAGAAATAGGTCGAGCCGGTTCTGACTTCAAAATTCGGCCAATTCTTCCATCTGCATGTATTTCGTGGCTCTCTGCCTCAGGTCATCCAGGTCTCGGGGTGGTTTTTTGCACAGGTTGTTGACGAAGGGTCCGGGCCGCAGCGCCGTGGTCAGGTGATGCATTGCTACGGCCGGGTCCAAGTTATGAATGGATAATGTCATTTTTTCGAACCTTTCCATGAAAGTTCTAAGAGGTTCCTTCTTTTCTTGGCGGATGTTAACCAATGCGATTGACGTGAGCTGATGAGGACGGCTCGTGGCAAATTGTATCACGAACCAGGAAGATAGGGCCGTCAATGAGTCTACTGATCCGGGGGGAAGCCTCGTGAACCAATTGAGTGTCGGCCCCCTCAGTGAGGTGGGGAAAACTTTACACATAATTGCGTCATCCTCGGTGTACAAACTGACCTGGGTAACGAACGCATCAAGGTGTTCCTCTGGATCGGCTGTTCCGTCGTACTTCTCCAGGGTCAGATTCTTCCAATTGTCGGGTAGACGGGCTCCGGCAATGTCCGGGGTGAATGGAGTCCTTCCCTGTCGTCGCTGTTGATCAAGGGTAGTAGTCGTCACTCCTGCTGTAGGCCTAGGGTCCCTCGTTTCCTTGTACCATCCGGACGATTCCCCATGATCCCGGGTTGATTGGGTATTGAGGATATCGTGGGACGGATGCCATGATCGGTTATCGCTTCTTAGCTCTGCATTCTCCTTTCTCAAGAGCGACAGCTCGTGGGCGTCCTTTTCTCGGAGCCTTTTGAGTTCCATCATTTCGGCCTTCAGTTGCTCGATGGCCGACGACGGGTTAGGCTGTTGAGACCGGTCCACGTACGACTCTTCCATCCCATCCTCATTCTGGTTAGTTTGCCGCCTAATGGTGTCTCGGGGCATCCCGAAAGGGTAGTCAATTGCGCTCTCCTGCTAACTCCTGGTTGTTACCATCTTGCTTCAGGGTCGAGAACCGTTCTGGTTTCGACCCCACGGTGGGCGCCAAAATGTTCCTGCGTAGAAACACTCCTCTTGTCGTTCTTCCTTCTCGATCTTCTAAGTCTTCGGTGCCAACCGAATCCTATCTCCGTGAGGTGGGGAGGGTGACGATCAAGTAAGTATTAGATACAGAGCAATAAGTACTTTTATATGGAATAAATCGTACCTTTTTTATGTCCCATCACCTGTGTATTTATAGTGACATGTGTGGGCCTGGTGGGCCTTCTGTCTTGGGAGATGGGTAACATTTTAATTAACCTTAATCTTCTCTTAATCAGGCATGGTAATTATTGCATAATAAGCATCTAACTTGCCACGTGTTGTTTGTGATCTGTCTTTTGTTGAAGTCTTTGGCTAGGCCTAAGGCCAAAAGGGTGTTCGGCCTTCCCCAAGGCCGAAGAGGTGTTCGGCCTAGGTCAAGGCCGAGGAGGTGTTCAGCCTAGGACAATGCCGAGGATATATTTGGCTCGTCCTTGGTGGTGGTTGGGGGGTTCGACCTATCCCAAGGCCGAGGGGGTGTTCGGCCTATGTCAAAGCCGAGGAGGTGTTCGGCCCAGCTTAATACCGAGAGGTTTCGCTGGGTGTCCACTCCTAGTGGTAAAGGAGTCCTGGGGTGCCCCCTTTGGCCGAGAGGGTGTATTCGGCCCGTCCTCCAGCCGAAGGGGTTGTGTGTTTTCCTCGGCTCGGGCACTCCGTTCGGCCTATTGCCTGACCGAAGGGGTGCCTACTAGTACAATAATGATTTTTGTATTTATATTATAGTGACTAGTGAGATCAAGACATTTTATGTTTCAATGTGTTTTGCTTAAAAATACTATAAATTAAAATTAGAAATAATATAAGTTACAACATATACATCAAGTGAGATAATGTATAATTAAAAAAAGTAAAATAATCTTAAATAAAAATGACTACAAAATTATTATTAACAGAGACAGAATAAAAAAAATAATTGTTTAGTGGGGAAAAATTATGCATCATAAAAAAGAAATTTATATTTAATTTTTTTTCTTTATATAAATTAATTTATCCATCAAATTATAAACAATTAAAAACCTTACATATAAATATAAAGAAAAATATTTAAAAGCTATTAACGTTCATAATCAAAATTGTACGCTAAAAAGTTAACGTAATTAAAAGTAATTAATATATAATTACTAAAAAAAAAATTTTGGTAAAGAATATAATTACTAAAATTATATAGCAATACAAAAAATCAATTTTTTAATTAATTTGAGAAAAAAATAATATAACAATTAACAAAAAAACTATTATAGCTAAAATTAATTTGAATAATTAAAAGAAATTAACTTATATTTGTTTATTCCTCTTTTTTCTTTTAGGTTTTCTAATTACTTTTAAAATTATGAGTGTAATTTTTTTTTAATAAATATCACAAGTATTTTTTATTAGAAAAATAATTATACTCAAGTAAAACATATAAATAAAAAATTGTTCAAGCCAAGTAAGTTTTTTTTTTAAAATATATAACACAATTATATATTCAAAACTTAAATTCAAAATGATTTTGAAGTTAAAAAATACTGCAATATCTATACTATTAATAAAGAGAATTGTACTATTTAGCGTCTATATTTTTGGACAATTTTGTAGTTATAACTATCCTTTTAAAAATTATAATTTTTACATATTACTTTTTAAAAATAATTTCACTCTATAATTGCATGTATTTTTAATAATTGCCCACTATTCTATAATTTTTTTATCTTGTATTATTCTTTTTATTCATGGAGTACCTTTTGTATAAGACGTTGATTTTATAAATTCATATTTTAAGAAAAGTTAGTGAGAAATTAGAGAGAAAAAGACTTTGGAGTCCAAGAGAACATTTTAATTTTTTTCTTCTGACTCCATAATAGTGCTCAAATCCTTTCCATAGCTGAGTAGTGGTGGTAGTTTGATGGATTTAAGCTTGTGAGCTGAAAATCAAGGTCATTGTTGTTGTATGACAAACCTTGGGAACCTCTTTCTTCGCCAACCTCTATTTCCTTTTCTTATTTTTCGAGCGATTCTAAATAAGGGAAGTTTAGTGATTGATGTTAATTGTATTTGCTTATTTCTGCTTGAATTCTTACTAAATGTTGCTTATTTGAGCAAATTAAGAAGTAAAGCTCTTTGTTTTGAGTTTTGGTTCATTTTGGATGTATTGAAAGTAAATTGATGATCTTGAGTTGTTGATGGTTGCATGATGATTTTGGTACTGAAATTGAGTTATTTGAGGTGTATATACATGCATTATTGATATCTGCATGTTGATTTGAGATAAAGATTTGCAGGTTTGAGCCAAAATCGCAATTTTGTTAAGTGTAGAAATTGCCATCACCCCAGGTGCAACATCATGACATCAGGTGTGATGCAGGTCAGGGGCTTTTTGCGCCGCTAGTGCTTACTGTAGGATTGGTAGTGTCAAGCATGAGTTAGTTAGGAACTTTCTGACTTGGTCATGTTGGGTGTGGAATGAGAGGTCCTAGACGTGATTGTTCGAGGAGCTCTCTAACTTGGTGATATTCGGCGTAGGTTGTGTAGCGTCAGGGATGATCAAGATAGTGATTCTCTACTTGGACGATGTTGGGCACGAGTTTTGTAGCATTGGATGTGTGTTAGGTAGAGGCTTTCTACCTAAATAATGTGGGGTGTGTGATTTGTAACACTAGACGTGCTGTACACAAGAACTCTCTATCTAATTCTCCATAGGCGTAGGTGGTTTTGTATTAGGTGTGAGTGAGCTAGAGGCTTTCTGTCTCACTAAATTCGAGTGTTGGGTGAATGGCACTAGACGTAGTTATGTTGAATGAAACTTGTGATTTTAGTTACAAAAGTGATGAAAATATGTTGAGTATGCTGATGGCTTACATGAATTTTTTTAAGAATTGATTTGAGTTCATTATACATTGAAATATGATAATTATGATGATGTTTAAGTTGGAAGTTTCCTAATTGTTCATTAGTTGTTTGAGTTGAAAGTTGCATACTATTCGAAGTTATTGTATGAAGAAAGTTGTTAGTTAATTCTAAACTATATGATTCATGTGATACATGTTTAAGTTGAGTTGCATAAAAACTAGAAGAAAGGAAAGTTATTTTAGAAATTAAAATATTTTATTTTGTGGATATAAGTTGTGGTGCTCGAAAAGTTAAGTAAGATGTCTCTTGAATGAAAAAATTATTTTTAAGTTGTCCCCTCTAGATTTTTATGTGGGACAATATGGAGGAGGCCAAACCATTTTTGTTGTAAGTGGCTATTGAATAAGGTACAAGGTCTGGGGTGAAAATCTCTAACTAAGTATTAGAAAAGTGCATAATATTTGAAAGGTAGTTGGCAGAATAATTTCATATAGGCTTAGTTCTACATGTTATGGTTGTAGTAGACTCACATCTAGTTGTCTTATCCCTGACAATATTATTAGACTTTCCTAATTTAAGTGATAAAATTTAAGAAACCAAAATAAGTCATTAAACATGTACGTGCTTAAAGAGGCCTAAAATTGTTTATACTTGACTTAGAGAAGACAAGTTAGACATTGTGGTTTAGTAGAATTAAGTCACATAAACTACTCACCTTAGTTGTAGGAGATCTCTATAAGTTGATATATGTGACGTTGTAGTCGATTAAGTTGTTTAGTTGTAATTAAAGTTGCTTATGTTGAGAATGTTATGCATTTTATCAGAGTATTTTGGATCTTAATTTCAATCAAAACTTTTCTATGACAGAATTTCCAAATGAAGCCCTCCTAAAGACTTGTTATGAAATTATGAATGCAATGTGCTCACTTGATTACAATATAATGAGGTTCAACAATAATGTTCAATTACAGATTTAAACCATCAAGATTCACATACACTTGTTAATCAAGTTTTATCTTCTTTAATATTCAATTAAGCAATTACTCAAAGTAAGAGATAAGGTAGAAGAAGATTGCACAAGTCTTTTATACTGGTTCAGCCACTCCACATGTGACCTACATCCAGTCCTTAATCAACACCTGATTAAGATTTGTTCCACTATCTTTAATCAAGAAGGTTTACAAGCAAACACACATGCATATACTTCTATACTAAAGATAACCACTTTCTTGACCCCAAGAAAGCACCCCTTGTAGAACCCACTACAAGAAACCTTATTACTTGAGAAACCCTTCTCAAGATTTTCCACAAAGATTCACAAAGAATAAAAGGAACGAATTCACCTGGAATTCTTGAACAAATCTTTATCTTCCCCTTTCAAGAATATGATGATGATGATCTTCTATCAAAGCTTTTCACAAACGTTTTCACTCTTGGATTTCACAAAGAAAACTCTCCAAGATGTCACAAAGACTCACAAAAACGTTTTTCACAAATTGTTTATCAGTTCTAACTCATGTCTGAAGTTTCTCAAAGTTCAAACTATTTATAAAAGTTTCAGACACAGATAATCGATTATTTTAAAGAATAATCGATTATTTTGTTCTTCAGATTTTCTGGAAATCAACCAAGAACAATATAATCGATTATTTAGCTGGATAATCGATTATTCCAGAGAGTTGTTCCTGGGATAATCGATTATTTTGGCAAATAATCGATTATTACAGCAAGGCATTCCACTTAGCCTATTTGCTGAAATAATCGATTATATTTAACAATAATCGATTATTTTGAGTTAGTTCTTAAAACTTCATTTTAAGACTCAAAATAACTTTCCAATGTTTTTAACTCATCATCATATACTCTCTACTTGGTTTAGATAAGATTTGATTATGCACAAAGCATACTAAGCACACAAAATATAGAAACACATTCACAACAATTTATATCCTAAGTTCTATTACATAGCTCCAACTCATAGCATTTTCTTGACTCTTCTTTGACTTTGTTTTTGTGCTCCAAGTTGTTGTTCTCAT